CATTCCAAATAGGGAAAATCGAATACAGCTGAAACTTACTATCTTGGCTTGCTGAAAGCCTTGGGAAGATTTTATGGATAATGATCCTAAACTCATCAACATGTTTATTCGAGGCTCCAAAGCTTGAATTTGAGTCCCAAGTGTAGTCAAGTTCACTGCCTACTGTGAATGGGTTAAGGGATAATGTCATTTCCATTGCTCCCTCTCTGGTTCGTGGCTATGAAAAGCAGCAAAATATACACATTCATTCTGCAGGTTCGTGATAAAGAAGTACTGTAGCTTGCAGATTTTACCAACAAAGAGATGCACTTACTTCAGAGTCTAGGTATTGAGTACAAGGCATTCTAGTCCAGGGGTTCTCACAGTGTGGTTCCGGAGCATCAACCTCATTTGGGAACTTCCTGGGAATGCAAATTCTTAGGCTCCACAGACAATTTACTGACTTTGAGGCCAAGAATTCAGTGTTTTATTAAAAAAAAAAAAAAAAAAAAAAAACTCGGGGTGCCTGGATGGCTCAGTTGGTTAAGTGTCCCACTCTTGGTTTTGGCTCAGGTCATGATCTCAGAGTCCTGGGATTGAGCCCCACATTAGACTCCATGGTCAGCGGGGTCTGCTTGAGGATTCTCTCCCTCTCTCTCTCTGCCCCTCTCCTGCCTCCTCTTTGTCTCTTTCTAAAATAAATACATAAATCTTCAAAAAACAAAAAAAACTCTCTTGGTGATTTTCATATATACTAAAGTTTGAGAACCACTTTCTTTGGAAGCACAACCAAACCACTCCAATCAAAGGACAATCTACTTCTGAGAATGGAAGAGAAAGATGTACCTATTAAAGGAGTTCTGCCCTAGAATTAACCTAACTTCTCATATAACATACACTCATTTCTTCTGCTACAGAGGGGATATAGGACTCTTGGTTACTACGAGCCAATATAAAACTTTTCTTGGGCCATTAGACATCAAGTACTCTTCAATCTTCTCCTTGGGCTAAATAATCCTAGTTCTTCTTACCTTTATTATTAATCACTTAAAAGTCTTCGTAATCCTTGTCAATCTCCAGAATAAAGTACGACCTCATTTTACCATTCAAATAGATTAAAACACGCTTTCTGTCATTGGACCATAGAAAATAATGCCCCCAAACCTGGGTCTCTTATATTCCATCTGTTTTAAAGTACAACATGTACTTCTAAAAAAAAAAAAAAATCAAGTTTTAGGTCTGTCATTTCAAGATATTCTGATTCTTCCCTTTCATCCCTGCTCTTCCTAAAAAAAAAAAAAAAAAAGTTTTAGTTCATTGTAAGGTCACTAAGTGTTTCCACATATATTGCATTAAACATTCTGATCCTCATTTGCCCTATTAAGTAAGATTGACCAGATGGATATTCCTCTGACTCTCTCTCCTGAGCAGGTTTTAGTTAATTAAAAATGATTATTTTTACTACATGTATTATATATTGGCCAGATGTTACCTGTGGTCATTTCTGGAAAGGATCATTTGGTGGTGGTTATAAAATACATATTTTCCTTTGGGAAGCCAGACTCTTGAGCACAATCAGGAAAACAAATGTAGAAATTGATTTCACCTCATACCTTTTTCTCAGTGCCAAAATGGCCATAATGCTTCATTTCCTTTGAAAGTCTGATCTATTCAAATTCTTTATTCTGTCTCCACTCTGGCCCTATTTATGTTGCATCAAAAAATTATCAGGTCAGTAGAAGGAAAATTAATATTGGTTTCTCTCTATACTAGAAGTATAAGTTGTTTTTTCCCCCAAAAAACTAATTTGATTTCTCTAGATGTGGTTTATGTAAGATATCTATGTATGGCCTAGCAAACTGTTCTGCTCTGTCAAGATAGAGACTCTGGGCACAGAGGATGAGACTTCCAGATAGGATTTCGAACAGTTCCTGCTTTTATACAGGTCTCCTTAGAAGCTATTTTTCATGCAAACTAATTTGCCTAAATTTCCTGTTAGTACTGAAATAAACTAAAATGAGGCAAAGATACTGTAATTATGAAATTGTTTTGTGATTGCACTAGTCATTTTTTCTACATTTGTAGACAAACCAGAATCCAAACAAGCCCCTTCTCATTTTTTGTCCTTAAAAAAAAATAACAAACACAATAAAGCAACATTCAATTTTCTCCTTTTAAAAAAATTTCAGTTTTTGAGGTCACCCCAAATTTGCAAAGCCTAATGGATGGAATTAACCACATCATCATCTGGGCTAGATTTAGATGTTTGGTCTCTAAAACACCACTTAGAAGACTTATTTATTTTTTTTTTTTAGGATTTTATTTATTTATTTATTTATTTTGAAAGAGAGAGAGAGAGCATGAGTTGGGGGCAGAGGTGGGCAGAGGGAGAGGGACAGACTCTGTGCTGAGTGTAGAGCCCAACACAGGGCTTGATTCCACGACCCTGAGACCGAGACCTGAGCCAAAATCAAGAGTCAGACACTTAACTGACTAAGCCACCCAGGCGCTCCCTGAAGACTCATAAGAGGCAAAAGTGGGTCTTTTCAAAGTCTTAATTTCACACATTGACAATTTTAATGTTAGATGCGATAGAGTGTATGAACAAGAAAGAAACTTCCAATTCCAAAGCTCTGGCTATGTTTTGTAAACTATTTCACAGCCAAATTATGGACCCAAGTTCTGGTCTCAGCTCTTTCTACATGGTCTTATGTAAGTTACATAAGTGACCACCCCATTTGGACTCTTTTCTTTCATAAAGAATGATAGTGATAGTTAGAAATACATATTCTCTAAAGTCTCTTTAAGCCTCCAAATTATATGATTTGTTGTTTAAAAAGTAACTTTAAGGCCTCATATGCTTTAATGAGCAATTGGGACAACTGGTATGGAGGTTGCTTTATTGACTCAGCTTTAAACACAGGACATGGCCCTCATTTTCTGGTAGCCTAAGCATTTGCTGCTTATGTTCTGAAGTACACAGATCGGCTTATAGTAAATCATAGTCAACCTCGAAAATGACCTCTTCCTCTTATGTTTTCATAGCAATCAACATTTACTAGGGTCCTCCTATTAGAGTCATCTGTGTTACATTTGATTTCCAGAGTCAGGTAAGGGGCAGACATTCCTGATGAAGAGCCTGAGAGTCCTTGGATAAATTGTCCCCCAAAATAAAAGATTACATACCTTCAGATCAGGCCATGCTCATCAGCCTCTAATAGGTTGGAGGGACTCACAGTCTTAATTTCCTATGTGAATCTATAATTGTCCGCAGGGGTCAATTTCAGTGGATGCTTCATATAAATCAGAATTGAAGATAATGATGCCTATTCACTTGATCAACTAAAATGACCAGCTGGGTTTAATGGGAGGAAAACAGAAACCCCTGCGAAATTGGAATAGCTTCAAAGGTGATAGAATATAATTATTTTTCTGCAAAGTTTCTTCTCTAAAGGTGACTGGCCATTGTGCTGTGGGCACCTGGGCTGCCATGTTATGAGGGTGGATGTGGCATTCGGAGCTACTGACTGTATCCGAAGTTGTAAGCCAAGAGTCAGCTTTCTGCCAAGGGAATGGGGAAAAGCAGGATTTCTTCTCCTTTCTTATTTTAGTCATTTCTTTTACAGTTGGAGAGGAGCTTTGGGGACTTGCCTAATTGATTCCCGAGAGGCAAATTCTAATTTAGATTGCTACAAAAGTGTTTTCTCATTATAGCCATAAAACATTTTCTAGAATTTGTTGTAATTATCCTTAGGGTAATATAATTTTAGGTCTGAAAGGACCTTAATAGTACCTGCCCACCCCCTCTCTTCTACAGATGAAGCAGCTGAGGTCCAGAGATGTGAACTGACTGGACCAAGGTCACAGGGCTAGAATGAGGGAGAGGCTGGCTACCATCCCACAATCAGAAGGTGAAACCAAAATGGATGCCCAGGCTGTGGTCTCCCGCTTAGAAGTAGCTGGAGACTCACTCCACAAAAATCCCCACTTAAGAAAACGTGGGTTCTATCATGCAGGAGAGGGGCTAGCAACCAAAATGGCAGACGGGGAAAACTGGGAGGGACAGGGAACCAAGGAACAAGTAGCCCACAAAGCAGATGACCCTTCCTTAGAGCGGAGAGTGAGCTCTGATGAGGAGCCTGTGTGTGCTGAGGGACAGTGGTTCCCGCTTTGGGTGACTGTACACATTTGGGAGCCAGACTGTCAGCCTGGGCTTGATTCTTAACTCCGCCGATCGTGAGCTCCGTGGTCCTTGACCAGTTGCTTCAACTCTCTGTGCCTCAGTCCCTCGTCTGTATAAAAGGGCGATAACATCAGCACTGACTGTCACAAGGATTAAATACATTGATCTATGTAAAGAGCTTAGCACATATTAAGTGCTATATTACTGTTGGCTATTTTTGCCCCTATTCACTATGCCAGAAAATCTTAAAAGTTTCAGGATATAGTTGCATTCATTAACAGTGTTACTGAGGTGCCTTTTGATATAAATATGCAGACTCTTAGATTCAGAAAGACATTGCTAAAATCTCTATGTTTAATGGATTCATTTTTTAGGAGGTATTGTTACAATTCAGTGTTGTTTTGTTTTTTTTTTTTTTCCAAAAAAATAAACTACAGGGATTTTTTTATTTTAAAAATGCAATAGCCATAATATCATGAAACAATGACAGAGGTTTCATTAGCAAAACAATTAATAAAAGAGTGTATCTGTTGCAAAAATCAAAAGACAGATTTTCTTGGCAGGAAATTAGTGCCAAGTCAGTGACTCCTGAAGTCATTAGAGTACGGCCAGCAGCTCAGGATGCCGCGTTTTCTTTCGCTAAGGCATGTTTCTTGGGCAGTTTAACATTTTTTTCTCCTTAGAATTTAATGTTGTCAAAGCTCTCAATATTTCACTCCAAATTTTTAAGAGAAAATCTTCACAAAATTAACAATACAGATCTTCAAGTAATTAGGACTACTTCAGTGCTGCCTGAAAAGAATACCATGTACGGATTAGTTGTTTTTTTTTTTTTTTCCTTTCACTCTTTGAATTAAATTCAGTGAAAGTTTTAAGGGAAAAAAAGTCAGTTACCTATCCATTCTCTCACATTTTAATCAAACAATTTTCGCAATTACATAGAAAAACACATTTTAAACATTGCTATAAAGAACTCTCCTGGAACTGCTCACTGATTTAAGACATGGGAAGATCATGATAGGCCGCATATCTTCCAGTCACGTGATGGTAAATCTGTGAGGAAAATCAGAGTTTGGCTGATTAATAATTATCATGCGTCATACATATCAAGTAATAATTATACTATTAAATAATAATAACTGTAATTCATGTTTCATTATAAAGCCCCATATTATTTTGCATTTCAGCAGATTCTCCATTCAACCAGCTTCAGGTGGAAGTTTGCTTGGACGAAAGCAGAAGTTTGGGTGCAATGAGGTAAATCAGATGAGTTGTTTTCTCTAGTTCTCATAGCCCAACAGGGAATTTTTCATTTCTTTCTCAAAAACACACTTGTCGATCTGTCACAAGGACAATGGATTACTACACACCTGTCTCTCAATGTCCGAAAGCAGCGTACTGGCGCCTATTCGAAAGAGTTCTGGCGTCAGCCATTCATCGCCCAGCTCTTCCTTCACGAGAGAGAGCCAAGCAAGGGAATCCTTGGCATTGCGGATGCCTCCTGCTGGTTTAAAGCCTACCTACAAGGGAAGGTGGGAAAGAGAACAAGGTTTATTATCACTGGAAAGCTTTAAAAAATGGTATTGCAGGGGCGCCTGGGGGGCTTAGTTGGTTGAGCTTCCGACTCTTGGTTTCGGCTAAGGTAATGATCTCAGGGTTCCGGGATCCATACCCTCGTCAGGCTCCACACTCAGCATAGAGTCTGCAGGACTCTCCCTGTGCTCCTCCCCCTACTCATGCACACTCTTACTTTCACTCCCTATCAAAACTGAATAAAATCCTTAACAACAAAAAAATGGTACTGCATTAATACAGGATCTCAATTCTCTCTCTCTCTTTTCAAAGATTTTATTTATTTAGTCGACAGAGAGAGAGACACAGCAAGAGGGGGAACACAAGCAGGGGGAGTGGGAGAGGGAAAAGCAGGTTTCCTGCGGAGCAGGGAGCCCGATGCGGGGCTCAATCCCAAGACCCTGGGATCATGACCTGAGCCAAAGGCAGATGCTTAATAAGTGGGTCACCCAGGCACCCCAAGTCTCCCTTTTTTTAAAGTCTATTTCACTTCACCCAGCACAAGAGCTTAGATCACTGACTCATGCCCATTCACACTACAAAATGACTTTTCCAAAATTAATGGAAAGAATGTCACGGCTTCTAAGGAGACACTAGTGAGCGTTAATAACCCTCATTAACATTGCACTTATTGGAAAGTCATAAACTTCAACCATCTAGACTATAGCTGTGAACTGGGGATAAACAAGAGAGATGTCAATAAATAAGGAAAACAGAGATCACAAAAGCCCATTCATCCTAGATTTCTACAAGTAAGCCTGTCTAGTCACCTCTCAGCCCTTCATCCCGAGATACAAAAGACACACTCAGGTACTGAAAACAAGAGAAGAGAATCACGGAGACCACACGAACCAAACTGGCAGCCATCAGGAAGGAGAGTTGACAGTTATTTTCACCAACTTCAGTGTAGGGACTTTTTTCTAAGTCGTAAGTGGAAAGAGTTCTATGAAGCAGCCAGAGCAGTCAAATAAGCACAGTAGAAAAAGACAGTGTAGGAGCTCTTCACAGTTCAGTAGTCTTTGAAGGTGAACATAAAACAGCATGACTCAGCCAATACCTGATGTTTACAAATGAGGTCCCTGAGTCCATTAGAAATGGATAAATGTGTTCTATAAACAGTAAAACCTGCTAATCTGGATTTACTTGTCTCAAGAACTTGAATCCAGTAGAGGAGAGAATCTATAGACAGGAACAATCGAGAAAACACTGCACAGCCCAAGAACTAAAACTCAGGCATTTGAACCCTGAGAGCCATTGATTCAATAGGGAGCCCCAACATGGGGTTAAAGCTCAAAGAATGCTAAACGAGAGAGACAATAAATGAATCGTTCCATACATGCTTGAAAACTTAGGGTTAACCTGGACGCCGCCATTTTCCCCACGACACCACACCCAGTCAATCAACGGTCAAGTCCTCCCAATCTTCCCACCTTAATTTCTGTATGTCGCCCCACCCCCCACACACTTCCTTCATCCTCTCACTTCTGCTGGTTTAGTTTAGACCCTCATTAGTTCTCACTAACATCGGTCAGTCTCTCGTTTGGTCTCCCTGCCTCAGTCACTCATTGCCACACAGCTAAGCAGCAGCCATCCACTGATCCTAACCCTATCTGCCTATTACCCAGGAGCCCAGGAGGCTCTGAAAGACTGCAGGGACATGGGGTGAATACAGGAGATACATAGGATGAGACTAGTGTGACTAGGCCCCCAAAATCAATTAGCTGGTATTAGCATACATGTTAATCATAAGCGCATTTCTGTCAATTAGGCTGTGCTGCATGTAGATTTTTCCATACAGTTCAGTTGTGTCAGCAAGTCTGTTTGGCAACATTTCTAAAGAGAGGTTCTAGCATAAGTTTATCCTTTTTTTTTTTTTAAGGGAGAGAATATGGAAAACATAAATCTGCAATGAAATCAGTTATGAAATATTAAACCTCTGCTGCTCAGAGTGACACTAATCATGGTCTGGAAGACGGCCCATCACATTTTAAAACACCCCTTAAATCAATGATGTAGAAAGTTTACAGTGTAAGGGCTGCCCAGGCAACTTGTCAACAACCTGAGAGGATGCTCCTGATTTGCAGATACATACACAGGTCCTCACTGTGTGAAATCAAACGTGACACAAATGAATGGGATTTTACTTGCATCTGTCTGTTTTCCTAATAAAACTGGGATGAACTTTGTTTATTACCTGAGGAAAAGGCCCATACAATTAAAAACAAGCACTGAGAGGCAGCAAAGAGTCCCTTCTTACTACACTCTGGCCTAGAACATGGAGCACTGAAAACTTTTATTGAAATTCTTTGCTTGTTGTCATGAGCTCTCTTGGGAAGGGCCTTGTTCATTTTGCATCCTTGTTAACAGAGGGTAACATGGCACACAGTTAACTACTCAGAACATGTTTGTTGAGAACACAGCAGGACTGTGTCTCCAATGGTGAGTTTTAACCCTGACTACAGAGCTTCCGAAACATACAGATGCCTGAGGATTACTTCTCCTCTGGAAGTGCGAGGGATGAGGGGCCCAGGCATCAATAAACATAAAAAGCTTCACATTTATTTCGTTGTACTTTCGCAGAAAATAAGAACCACCGGTCTAAATGAATGGTGGTGGTCTCAGCTGAGGGGACCCAAGATAGAGTCTCTTTTTTAACGACTAAACTTTTTTTACTTGGGTCAGTGCAGAAAGGCTAACCGAAAGAAGAGATTACTCAAATGGAGTCAACTGTCATATGTAAGGTCACAGTAGCTATCTTTCCTATTTGTGCTTTTTTAAGACAGGAAGTTTTTCTGAAGGAGAAAATTCTGGAAGGAGTTCACTTCCTCTCAAACCCAGCACATTCTAAAAACGGTCTCCAGTTCCAAAATGAACCTAAGATACAGTCACATATGAAGTCATCACTTCTAGTTGGCAAAGGATTAAAGGTCTTTTTCGGGTTTCCATTTGGCAGAAATCCAGAGATTGGTTTTAAAAGATGCCTTCTGAGGAAGGGCACTCTCATTAAACAAAACAAAACAAAACAAAAACAAAAAGAAAAGAAAACCCAACTACCTTTCTCACCAGTGATGTTTAAAAAAAAAAAAATCCTTTGAGATAATTTGCAGCTAAACAAGCAACTTGAAGTGAAAAGGAAAATCCAAACTCATTTAAAAAAAAAACCTCATATGCATTTTTCTTTTTAACTTCATATGTTTCAAAAAATATGTATTACTTTTCGAAAAGCTGACAAAAGCTAGCACATACCCTCCTCAGCTTAACAGTCTTCCAAAGAGCACATCCAACTGCCATAAAACGCAAAAATGGATATTTAATTCAAGAGCTATATAACGTCTAGCTACCTTTTCCCTGCTGTTTCACAGCATTTCATTATTTTGTTTAATAAGTTCATCTCCTCGAGAATTTTCTCTTCACCTCATATTATTAAAAGTAATAAGTTTTTCTGGACCGGGGGTTTCCCAACAGAAAAACCAATTTATGTGTGTCCTTCAATAATGACAGGAAAAGATTATTTCCCATTATATTGCATACTTTTCATATCACCACCACAGCTTATCATTCAATAAATGTTACTCTGCAATTCTTTCCATTCCTCAAGGAAGTTTAATTTCTGCATTAACCTGTTTTCGCTGGCCAACGCCTTACCAGAAAGCCTCTGTGTTGTAGCAGAATTAGTTCGTTAAAGAACCCATTTAGGCATCTCTTGTCAGTGATAAAATTGTCTTCAGTTAATAAAAGCACATAAAGTGAGTTTACATCTTGATCACACATACTTACTCCCACACTCACACTCACTCTCTGTTAATCGCACATTTTTCTCCATGAATGTGTTCTTTTGTAATGAAAGGTAAATTAAACATTTATCTTCATAAAGGTAACTCATTCACACCTTCTGCATATAAAGACAGTTTTTGTGGCTGTAACTAGTATTATAAATAACATTCTCTTTACTCTAAAGAAAGATTTGCTGGCAATAATATACCTTGTTTCCAGTTTTCCAGAAGAAATCTCTAATGGCCCGTAGCATTACTATCGCTACCGGGAAAGTGGCATTTACTGTTTCTTTTCCAGTAGAGGTCTTAATAAAATCTGATCCTAAAACAAAAGGGAAAAAGAAAAAAAAACCCTCCATGTTAATTAAAAACTTATTTTTACACTTTTTAGTCAGTGAAAGAAATGAGCTATGTAATTTTTTTTTTCCTGAGGAGCATAACTTTATTTTTTGTTAGTTATTTGAAAAAGGAAAAACAAAACCTCTCTTTGAAATAATTCTGTCCATACTTCCCACCCTCCACCCCCAATTACTAGAAAATGAATGAAATTAAGTACCAATTGGGTTCTCACAGATTCTTGGGGCCCCTGCCTCCGTATTTCCACATCATCAATGAAAATCAAGGTGGTTTATTTAATGCATAACTGAGATGAACAGAACAATGTTATGCTATGTGCTTAATATCATATATCACGGCACTTTACTGTAAAACTGCAGTGCTCACGCATTTTCCCCTCATTTTCTTGTGCTTGATGGGAAGTAAGAGTCCAGCTGTGACAACACCAGAAGAATGATTTGTACTGCACTGTTCCTTAAGGAAAGCACTGTCTTCCAATGAGATTAGGAGTTTCACGAAAGATGTCATGCTATTTCATAACCTACAAACACCTTAAACAACTTTCTGTCTCTTGTTTCTCACAGGTGTCCTAAACCTGTTGATGTAGTTTAACAGAATAGCACAAGGAGACAAAGAAATGATTATAACCGTGTGCTATACTCTGTTCTAGGTGCTTAACAAGTAATAACTCAGCCACTCCTCACAACAACTGTATAAGGTAAGTACTAATACCCCATTTTAAAAGATGAAATGGAGACACAGAGAGGTTAAATAACTTGCTTGGGGTAACAGTTAAGTGAGGGAGGTAGAATTCTAACCAAAGTAATACAGCTGAACCAACAGGCTATAGTGTCTCCAAGAAACTTACCTAGCGTGACAAAGTCAGGTAGCCAAACAGAGATTCCATCTTCCATGTGGTTACCTACCCCTAAAACGTTCAAAATGCAGACCACAGAGCACAGTATGGGCACCACCGGGCTACCTGCTAAAATGCAGACTGTTGGGTCCTATACTAGTCCACTGAATCAGAATCTGAATATAAACAAGGTTCCCAAGCGAGTCCTGTGCAATTTCACAGCCCTAGCCCACCGACTCTGTGGGGCCATAGCTAAGGCTGACCTCTGAGACTCTCCCCAGGTCCATCAAAGAAGTGGTCAATAGAAGTGGGGGAAAGACGTGGCTAAAACTTTCCCCATTAGTTTCAAATAGGAAAAATACTTCTACAGCTATTCTGTGGATGGAAAGATTCAAATCAACCTACCTTTAAGTAAATACACTGTGTGTAAGGCACAGTGGAAAATAAAACAACAAATAAGCCAACCCTTGACCTCAAAAGCATACATTCTAGGTGCAGATGGAGAAGGAACATAAATCCTGAGTAACCACTTGAAGAGCTAGAAGTCAGAAGATCTGGTTTCATCTCCCAAACTTTCATGTCTATAAAATTCATCTGAAAATTCTTAGTTGCTTCATAGCTTTAATTCCTACAGGGAATTAAAAGCTACAATCTATGTGAAAGCACTTTGAAAACTCTCAAGCATTCATAAATATAAATGGATTGAGGACCTAGGTAGGGTTTCAATCTGTAAATACATGAGAGAAATTAGGATTTATGAAAGCAAGTCATCAGAAGCCTTTGGAGGAGGGACGTCTGCAGGCCCACTGAAGAATTGGAGATGTTATCTGTCTCGCATACATTCATCTACCAAACATCCACTGAGTGCTTACTATGTCCTAGACTGTTGTCAATACTGAGAAGAGACCACTAAACAAAATAATAAAGCTCCCACCCTTGTAAGCTGATTTTCTAGAAGAGAAAGACAATGAGCAAATATATAATAAATGTCAGACGGAGAGTTATGAAAAAAAGCAATGCAATGAGTTAGAGAGTGATGGAGTTGGGGAAAGGTAGCTATAGTTAAACAGTTACCAAAAAGGCATCTCTCAAGACTGAAATTCAAATAGAGACTGAATGAAAGGCATCTATGAAAAGAACCACAAGCAGGGAAATGCCAAGTACAAAAGCCCTGAAGTAGGCATGTGCTAAACTGATTGATGAATGAGTGAATGAATGAGACCACAGAAGCAGGGCCTGATCCCCACAGCACCAGAAATAAGACAATCAATGGGATGAGAGCAAAGCCTCCAAACAGATCTTAAGAGGGAGGGGAACATCCCCAAAGAATTCACAATGAGACCAAGATGTGCTTTCCTAAGGTGTAATACTGTCTTCTGAATCATTAGAAAACTTTTGGGTACAACACCAGCTATCATCTAAATTCTTCCACGCATCTTAGAAAAGAAGATTATTACAAGACCAAGGCTACATTTGGAGGCCCAAGAAAAAGGTATGGTCACTTAAAAAACCACACAATTTAAAGTTAACCAAAAAAGCCAAACTCCTTTGAAAAGAGTCCAGAGTTAGGGTAAGGGAGGAGACTCTCCTAACATATTTGGGAGGAGCAAAGAGAACTCCTATCATGAGAGCAACAAGAGCCCAGGTATAGTAACAACAGCCTGCACATCATGTGTTTGTCCCCCTTTCTTACTGTATTTTAAGAACATTTGAGGGCAGGTTCTTTCTAGGAACCAGGTATCTTTCTAGGAACTATGTATCCCCAGAGCATGACATACGTTCAAGGCTCAATACATGAATTTTGGATGGATGGATGCATGGATGGATGGATGGATGGATGGATGGATGGATCAAGTTGGTTGATAGATGGATGGCCACAGCTACCAAGAAAAAGCAAACTACAATATTTCCCATCTTTAACTGACTAATGAGAAAGGGAAGGCAGTTTTGAGTTTTATTCCAGTTCAGGTAACAAAACTGGACAGGTGGCTCAGAAGAATATATCATTTTACTTATTTTTAAATAAACTGTAAATTTTGGAGCAGATGTAAAGCTACAGAAACATCAAGCTAGTACAGTTTCCACATGCCCTACACCCAGTTTCCCCTATTATTAACAACATTTGTACATTTGTTACGATTAATGAGCCAAGATAGATATATTACTATTAACCCAAATTCATACTTTATTTAGATTTCCTTAGTTTTACTTAGAAGCCAATTGCACCCAGGATACTCTGATATGTACATTTATAATACTGCCATGGGTTCCTCTTAGTTGTGTCAGTTTCTTGGACTTGCCTTACTTTTATGACCTTAACAGTTTGAGGAGTACCGGTCAAGTATTTTGTAAAAGCTCCCTCAGTTGGGACTTGTCTGACATTTCTCTCATGATTAAACTGGGGTTTTGGGTTTCTGGGGAGGAAGACCATAGAGGGAAAGTGCCATTCTCACCATATCACATCAAGTGTACCTTCCATCAACATGATCTACCACTAGTGATATTGACTGTACACACCTGGGAGGTCGTGTTTGCTGGGTTTCTCTATTGCAAGGTCATTCTCTTTTCCCTACTTCCCATACTGTCTGCCTTGGGAAGAAGCCCTTATGTGTATCCCACACTTAAGGAATAAGGAATTATAATTTACCACCTTTAGGGGGAATAACATCATAAATTATGTGGGCTTTTTTTGCATGAGAGATTTGTCTCCTCTCATTTGCTTATTTACAATTATTTATATCAGTACAGACTCAGAGATATTTATTTTATACTTGGCTTTATAATCCATTATTACTTTATTTCATCGCTCAAATGGTTCTAGCTTTGACCACTGGGGGCTCTCTCAGTTCCTTCCTATATCCCTTTGACACACCTCCATCACGTAGAATTTTCGCTTTTTAAAGCACTTCCTTTGGTATTGCCAAATGCTCCAGGTTTATCTTTTATGCTTTCTGCTCTAGTCCTAGAATAAGCCATTTCTCTAAGGAGCCCTAGTTCCTCTTCTTAGAGGATGGTATTAGAACCCAAAATCTTGGTGCTAGGTGTACTCACTGCTACTGTGGGGTCTTATTTCCAGCTCTCTCTGCTGCCTAGCAAGGAAATCTACGTACGTACACTAAACCATTTATACACACACATCTTTTAATAATTCCACATTTAGCAATCTATATTTGTATATATTAAACACGCATAATACTGATGACTCCAACTCTAACCCGTTACCGCATGGATCATTCCAGCCCCCTCCCCCTTCTTTACCTGTAAACTTCTACTTCAACAGTGAGAAACCAAACACTGACATCTTTACCTGTAAACTTCTACTTCAACAGTGAGAAACCAAACACTGACATCTGTCACTCATTTCATTGTTCACATTCAGTCTCCACACATAGCGCTCTCAGAACTGTTACCTACACCATGGGAAACAACTTTATCAACGCCTATACAGTGCTCATGTGCATTTTCCTGTATCTTTAGCTTTACAGCCCACAGTCGCTTACAGATTTTTTTTTTTTTGAGAGAGAGTGGGGGGAGCAAGAGCAAGGTGAGGAGCAGAGGAGAGGGAGAAGCAGACTCCCCGCTGAGTAGGGAGCCTGACTCGGGGATCAATCCCCAGACCCTGGGATCATGACCTCAGTCGAAGGCAGACGCTTAACCGACTGAGCCACCCAGGGACCCAGCTGACCCTCATTTATAATGTTATTCAGGTCAGCACCTTTCTTCCTACCTCCTTCAGGGAGGCCGTTTCATATATTTTTAATACAGTTAAAGATTCTTTGCTCACAGTCCACATTCTATCTTGGAATCCCCTGATCATGTAAATGATTTTTTATTTGCATACATTAAAGTTCAGTCTTCATGGAGGTTCTAGTAGTTCGACAAACATATAGAGTAGCATATGCATCATTACAGGCTTGCACAGAACACTCCCCACGCTAAAAATCCCCCATGTGCCACATTTGTATCTTCCCCCACTGTGCCAACAACCACTGATCACTTTACGATGGCAACCATTTTGCCTTTTCCAGAATGTCATGTGTAGGAATCATCCAGCCTTTTAGGCTGCCTCTTCACTTAGCAATATGCATATAAGGTTTAATACTCATGTCTTTTCATGCCTTGACAGTTCA